ATACTGATTAATTAATCAAAACTTATCTAATTGTGGAGAGGATTTGGGCCAGTATAGATGGTCCTCTTATCAACGCCAAAGATTTCGGCATCATGATCACCCACTTTATGATCTGCATTTGTCTTGAAAACACCTTTGGGTGGAGGATTAAGGGGATTGATTTCAGAAGCTGTTGTTGTTGGGATTGCTTTGAATCTGCTAGTACTGGACTTTACCTTATAATTGTTATATCCAGCTGCTGCTGCTGCCGCTGCAAAACTTGGAGTCTCCAACTGAAGCAGCATCAACACCAGCAGAGACAAGCAAGCCACCTCTCTTGTTCTCACTCGTATCTGCTGCTTCCTTCTCTTACCCCAATAATATTTCATGGCCGCATATACTCTCTCTCTCTCTCTTGATTCTTCAACAACTGAAGGAAGATATTGGTCGTGTGTGAGGCAAAGAGAGGTGTATGGTATGGTATGGTATGGAAGGATCGATATTGGGTGAGGAAACTTTTTGGGTATATTGGTTAAAAGTCGATTGATTTGAGGAGGTGAGAGTCAAAATGCATAGGATTTAGAACCGGAAAAACAAAAATAAAAATGCATAGGATTTGCAGCTGCTGCTTGCCTCTATAAAGATAGTGGTGAAAGTTACTTAAAGAGAGGGTGTGTGTCGATGGAAAGGTGGAAACTTCTTTTGCTCCTAATTTAGAGCCAACTATTTTTTCTGGGGCAACGCTCTGCAAATGAATGAAAGCTGTGCAAAGGGTCCTGCTCAGCCTTTCTATTGATCTCGGGTAATGTGGGATTAATGATTTTTTGGTTTTTAATTTATTAGCATCTCTAAGGAAAGATGCAAATTTGAGATAGAAAAATGATATCTACATCTTATTTTATATTTTTGGGAGATGTACTTTGGAGTTTGAATTCAATATCAGAGATGTAAATTTAAGATCTCATTTAACGACAACATGAGTATGAAAGAAAATGAGTATGCATGATTCTTATTGATGTGTGTACTAAGCCTTCCATTGTCAAATCCCAGCCCGAGCCCCCACCACATCCCGACCTGGGATGTGACATCCACGGTGCGTCGAAAAATTGATTTTGGTTATCAAACATGAAAATCCATAGTGGGTTGAAAAATTTGAATAATATGGAGAGTAATTTCAATTCTATTAAGGAAAAAGAATCAAATTCACTCTATTGTAGTAATTGTGTTATAAAAATCGAACTAAAAAAACCTAATTTTTTATATGTAGAAATCAAATTCACATGAATCACCGTGAAAATCCTAAAAATCAAGGAATGGAAAAAAAGTATAAGTCGACCCACATTAGTTTTTGGTGTCCATATAACTTTTTATGGATGAAAAATTAAGGTATGATATTACCATGGTTGTTTGATGGGGCTGTGCTAGTTGGTTAAAGGCAAATATGCTTGCCTTTTTATGCTTGAGTTTGGAGTTTGGAGTCATTTTAAATGATAGTGAACAGTATTGTTTCATATAAATAAATACTTTGTTTATTCGTCAATGTTTACAAAACGAAAACTAACTGCTAAAGTTCCTTTTTTTTTTTTTTTTTTTTTTTTTGGTCCTCCTCAAATGATAGATTTTGTAAGATTAGATGTTAAATTAGTCACTAACGGGGTTCGAATCCATACCATCATGCAAGCACTCAATGATCACTCATATATTTCTTGCATTTATACCATCCATTTCTAATCTTTTTGTGATGTTTTTGAGTTAAATTGGTTGCATTTTACCTTATTTTGTATTAGTGCACAGTTACATGTACTTTAGGACCACTTTGAAGACAAAAGAAGTGAAAACATGTCATTTTTGGGGTTGACCGTTATTCAAACGTGAAAAGAAGTTTAGTGGCCTATTTTGAAGCCCAAATAAAGAATCCAAGTCAAATCTGGTTTGTTAGAAGACAGGAGCAGAATGGGAAAGGAATTGGAATATCTACCCTGATTTGGAGGAGCAAATAAAGAAAAACGTTCAAAACTTTGGCTTAATGGTTGGGATCACCTTGCAATCAGCTACAACCCCATTTAGCATATAAATACTAGGGTTTCAAATCACTTTTGCATAAACCCCCTTTGGGGGTCGCCCAAAGCTCTCTCACTTCTCTTTCTTTGGTCTTTCTTCTAGAAACAAAACCCTATTTCCCTTCACCATCCACTGCCACCAAAGACACCACGCAACCGCGCTGTTCTTGAAGGATTTCCACATCAAAATTGCTTCAAGGGGGTTTCTTCCATGAATTTAATTTCACTCATGTTGTTCTTAATATTTATATATTCTGTAATAATGTTGTGTAATTAAGTTCATAGCTGGGGATTTCGATGTAGCCTTGCAAAACTATTATGTTATTAAGTTAAAGTATTCAATTCATCAATTTGTTTTCTTGTTTCATTCACTGATTTTATAGTTTAATATGTTTGTTTATCTTAATGTTTGATCACCATTAGGGTTTCTTACAGATTATTTGATCAAGATTATAGTACACGTCATGCTTAATCTTGGTAGACATGTGAATAAATAAAGAAACTGCTATGCATACATCCTGTCATGTGATTTCTTTGGTTCTTTGAAGCTTTCTTGTTCTTAATGGATTCTTAGTTGGTAATTTAAGTTGAACATCACAACTAGGTTGCAAATTAGGAGTACTTGATCACACCCACACATCAAATGGATGATCATAAATGACTAAAACGAACCCTAGTTGCAGATTGGAGAGTTGAACGTGTTTTGACTTTATTTTCATGGAATTGGCTTGTAATGATGAAATCGGCATCCCTAGTTCCATTCCCATTATTTTTGAATCAACCTATCATTTCATCTTTATCTTGTCTTTCATTTTGAGTTACTTTAGCTTTTAAAAATCTAAATTCAGTTTTCATTTTCATTACTTAGTTAGGGTTCACATAAAGCTAGTAATTTGTAGAGTTCTAATCAATCCCTGTGGTTCGACACCCTTGCTTGTGCCATTATACTATCCTTATATTTGCACTTGAAAAGAACACAACACTCAACACATATCCACTACTGTGGTAAAAGGCCACTTGTGTCAAAGTTCCAATTTGGAAATTACAATGTAATAACTCATATATTTCATACATTTATACCATCCATTCCTAGTCCCTTTGTGATATTTTTGAGTTAAACTAGTTGCATTTTACCCTCTTTTGTATTAGTGTGCAACTAATCGTATTTTGGAGCTCAGTTGAGGACAAATAAGGCAAAATCGTGCCAAAAGTGGAGAATTGAATAAGGATGCTGATGTAGACAAAGAATTAAAAGTGGAAACTGAATATGGTGATGAATATGGCTCTTTGTAAGACTAATAACAGCACAAAAACATAGGAATTAAATGCCTACTTACTGGAATGTATTGGCAATCTGTAACAGCTCTTTAACAACATAAAACCTAGCCTTTCAGCTACTTTTACATACACCTTTCATTCTGAGTGAATTTCACAACTTCAGTCACTATTTTTCTCTCTTTTCATCCACACTCAAAACTCCACCCATTCTATACTCTCCAACATCATCGAAGACTCATCTGACAGGCTATTCTTGGAGAAGTTCAACATCAAAATTGCTTCAAGGGTTTCCTCTCTCTTTGATTTATTTTCACTCATGTTGTGTATTTCCAATTTCATCTCTGTGAACATGATGTGTAACTAAATTCATAGCTAGGGATTTCGATGTAGCCTTGCACAATTGATCCATGTTTTTATGTTAAAATATTCAATTCATCAATCTGTCTCTTGTTTCATTCATTATATCTTTTGTTAAATTTGTTTGCTAATTTTAATGATTGATCACTATTAGGATTTCTTACAGATCATTTGATCAAGATTATAGTAAACATCATGCTTAATCTTGGTAGACATGTGAATAAATGAAGAGAATTCTATGCAAACATCCTGCCATGTATTTTCGTTGGTTCTTTAACGTTTTCTTGCATGCTAAAACCACACATTATATGGTTGATCATATATATGTAAAACGAACTCTGGAAACAGGTTGTAATTGAATACGGTTTAACTTTATAAACATGGAATTGGTTTTGTAATGGTGAACTCGAAATCCAGACCCATCCTCATCATTTCTCAATCAACAAATCATTTGTTGTTACATTTTTCATGCATTTTTAGCTATTCTCATTAACAGCACACAACCTACATTTAATTTGTTATTTTCATTATTTAGTTAGGGTTCTTTCAAGGCTAATAATTTATAGACATCTAATCAGTCCATGTGGTTCGACACCCTTACTTATGCCATTATACTAACCATATATTGCACTCGGAAGGAACACAACAAAATTATGGCACCGTTGCCGGGGACTGATTTCAACCCCCTATAATTGCTTGTTCTTCAAATCCTATTTATTTTCCTTTTCAGTCTAAATTCCATTTGTGTTCGTTCTATTTCTTAGGTAGTTTATGTCCAACAAACTTGCTGAGATAGGCCAAAGACTTGAACGTATAAAAAGCAACATTTTTGAGAACTTTCTATCAACTAGTGCTCAAATTAACCGTGAAGAAGAGGATGATCAATCTTCTAGATCAGCGAGTGTAGGTGCTTATTCTGAGCACTCTAATTCAGACGGAGAAGAAAAGATGGCTGACAATAGTGATGACAATCGAGCTTTGGAGGATTATGCTCAACCGATTATACCAAATTCACCTTCATGCATCTTGCTGCCTCTTGAAGCTAGAAACTATGATCTCAAATCTTCACATTTTCACATGCTTCCTTCTTTTTATGGTTTACCTAACGAAGATCCGATAGCCCATATTAAAGAATTCTATAATGTTGTGAATGGTGTACCTTTGTAGGGAATGAATGAAGCAAATCTAAGGATGAGGGTCTTTTCGTACACATTGAAAAATAAGGCTAAGGGTTGGCTAATGACTTTAGCACCTGGTTCACTCACCACTTGGGATATCGTAGTTAAGAAATTTTTGGAGAAATGTTTCTCTACTCAAAAGATAGCTACTTTAAGAGGGCAAATCTTCAACTTTGCATAACATGATGAAGAACCTTTCAATGAATGTTGGGAGCGCTTCAAAGGCTTTTTGCTTCAATATCCACATCATGGGTTACCTCCTTACTTACAAATGCAAATTTTTTATGATGGATTAACCCAAACATGTCAATCTACTATTGACAATGCAGCAGGTGGAGCTTTGAAGAAAAAGAAAGCTCAAGAGTCATATAACATCTATGACATGTTGGGATCTAATGCTCAATACAAAGATACAAGAGGTAAACAAGCTGGAGTGTATGAAATGAGTTCTAATAATAATCTTGCATTGCAGGTGGCTAGTTTGGAAAAGAAGCTCGATTCTGTGCTCAATATGGTGCCTAAGATAGCTGAGGTATGTGTTATTTGGAACATACCAGGTTATCCTACTTATCAATGCTCAGCTAGTAAGGCTTATCCTGAATTTGTCCAAGAGCAAGTGAATCTCATGAACTCTTACAATCAAAGGCCAAGGAATGATGCATACTTTAATACATATAACCCTAGTTGGAGAGATCATCCAAACCTCTCATGGAAGAATAAAAATCAGTTTCAAAATTTCTAACCAAAACCTGCCACTACACTTGAAGATATGGTCAAATTGTTAGCCCAAAACACCGTTCCACTCCAGGAAACTACCAATAATACTCTCCAACAACATTCGGCTGGTCTAACCAAAATGGAGACACAATTAGGTCAAATTGCAGATGCTTTGAGTCAAAGAAAGGCCGAAAAGTTTTTGAGACAACCGGTGATATTCAAAGGAACCAAGAGCAGGCCAAAGCAATTACTACACTTAGAAGTGGTAAGGTTATTAATAATGGAGTTGGCAATGAAGTTAATAATGAATCTGATCATATGAATGCAGGTGCGACTCAAGAAGAGAATGAGAAACCAAATGACGAACTAAGCAATGTCACTTCTTCATTTGAAGCTCTAAATCTTCATAAGGCTGAAAAACCTTACACTCCTCCCATTCCATTTCCTAGAAGACTTGCCAAAAGCAAGCAGGATAAGTCATTTAAAGAAATTTTTGATATTTTAAGTAAAGTGAATGTTAATTTACCTTGATGTTATTAGGAATATGCCAGCGTATGGGAAATTCTTCAAGGAGCTGAACAACTATAAGAGAAAGTATGGACCTAATAAGAAGGTGGTGGTGTCTGAAAAATGTGAGTGATGTACTTCAAAGAAAGCTCCCACCAAACCTTAAGGATCCAGGCAGTTTTTCTATCAATATCACCATTAGAGACAAGCTAGTGGAAAAGGCTATGCTCGATTTGGGTGCTAGCATCAATTTAATGCCCTATTCAATGTACCTTCAATTAGGTTTGGGGGATTTAAAGGCAACAACTATTTCATTGCAACTTGTTGATCGATCAGTGAAATATCCAAGAGGTATAGGGGAAGATATCTTTGTTCAAGTTGACAAACTAATTTTGCCTACTGATTTTGTGGTGTTGGATATGGAAGAAGCTCCTATACATGATCATGAGTTACCTATTTTGCTTGGGAGACCCTTTATGGCTACTGCAAAGACTATCATAGACGTGTAAAATGGTCTTCTCACCATGACCGTGCTAGAAGAAACTGTACAATTCAAAGTGTTTGAATCTCTTTCTCACCCTTCTAGTTCACTTGATTGTTGTTCGGTTGATGTGTTTGATTCACTTGTTTTCTCTAAGTTTTTATAGACACAATCTAATGATCCGTTACAATTTGTTTTGAGTCAATCTCAAGATGATTTTGATGAAGAATATGCACTATAATATGCACTCATGGAAGTGGTGGCTACCTTGGAAGCATTAAAACCATATCCCTCCACCATTTCACCTCTTATAGAGTCATTACAACCATTTGCCACACATATGATACCTTGCATTGTTAAACCTCCAAAACTTGAGCTTAAACCACTTCCACCACATCTAAAGTATGCTTACCTAGCTGAACTTGAAACTTTTCCAGTTATCATAGCATCTAACCTCAACCCAATAGCAGAAGATAAGTTAATTAGGGTGTTAAAAGAGTTCATATCAGCCATTGGTTGGTTTATTGCAGATATCAAGGGAATAAGCCCTACCATGTGCATGCATCGAATTTTATTAGAGGAGGGAGCGAAAGCAACCCGTGAACCACAATGAAGGCTCAATCCACACCTGAAAGAAGTAGTGAGAACTGAAGTGTTGAAGTTGCTAGATGTGGTATTATATACCCAATTTCTGATAGCAAATGGATCATGGATCAGTGCTGTTCAAGTAGTGCCTAAGAAGATTGGAATCACGGTGGTAAAAAATGAGAATAAAGAGCTTGTACACACAAGACCTGCAGCTAATTGGCATGTTTGCACCGACTACAGGAAGTTGAATTCGCACACTAGGAAAGATTATTTTCCTATGCCTTTTATTGATCAAATGCTTGAGCGATGAGCTAGTTACTCACATACCGTTCTCTTGATGGATATTCAGGTTATAATCAAATTGCAATAGCTCCGGAAGATCAAGAAAAGACTACATTCACTGCCCATATGGCACTTTTGCATAGAGGAGGATGCCCTTTGGCCTTTGCAATGCCCCATCAACTTTCCAAAGATGTATGTTAACGATTTTTCCGGATATGGTTGAGAGATTTATTGAGGTATTTATGGATGATTTTCAGTTTTTGGTTCTTCTTTTGATGATTGCCTTAACCACCGATCTCTAATGCGTCAAAGATGTCAGGAAACAAATTTGGTTCTGAATTGGGAAAAGTGTCAATTCATGGTGAAACAAGGTGTTGTGTTGGGTCATGTAATATCTAGCAAGGGAATTGAAGTTGACAAAGCAAAAATTGACATCATCTCAAATATGGCAGCCTCTACTTCAATAAAGGGAGTCAGAAGCTAATGAGGACATGCTGGTTTTTATCGTCATTTCATTAGAGATTTTTCCAAGATCACCCGTCCATTGTGCAATCTTTTGGTTAAAGATGTTGTATTTCACTTTGATAAAGATTGTATGAATGCATAATACCTTGGTCTTCACCTTTTGGGCATTAATGTGTGATGCTTCTGACTACACTATTGGTGCTATTTTAGGTCAAAGGATGAATAAACTCCCACATGTGATTTCCTATGCAAGCCAGACATTAAACGATACTCAACTCAATTACTCCACAACCAAAACGGAGTTGCTTGCTGTTGTTTTTGCTTTAGAGAAATTTTGTTCATATCTTATTGGCTCTAAAGTAATTGTTTACTTTGACCATGCAGCTCTTAGGCATTTGTTGACAAAGAAAGATGCCAAACCACGCTTGATTAGATGGGTACTCTTGTTACAAAAGTTTGACTTGGAAATTCAAGACAAGAAGGGGAGTGAAAATGTTGTTGTTGACCACTTATCCTGCATTGTTGATGAAAACCATGGAGATGGATAAATTTTGCCTTTCAACGAATCATTCCTGGATGAACAACTCTTTGTGATTCAAGAAAAAGAGCCATGGTATGCTGATTTTGTTAACTATCTTGCTTGTGGTGTAATTAGAGATGATTTCACTTTTCAGGAGAAAAAGAAGTTCCTTTCAATGGTGAAACACTATGTTTGGGATGAGCCATATTTGTTCAAGTATTTCCCTGACCAAATCATCCAAAAATGTGTCCCAGAGAGTGAGCAGCAAAGAATATTAACATTCGGTCATGCATTGGCATGTGGAGGACATTTTGGTGCCAAAAAGTCAACTTTAAAGGTTTTACAATCTGGTTTCTTTTGGCCTACGTTATTTAAAGATGCTTTTGATTTTTGTTCTAAGTGTGATAGGTGCCAGAAAATGGGAAACATCAGCCGCAGGAATGAAATGCCATTGAACAACATTTTAGTGATGGAGTTGTTCGATGTGTGGGGAATCGACTTCATAGGACCATTTCCATCCCTTTTTGGATACATATACATACTAGTGGCAGTATATTATGTATCCAAATGGGTTGAAGCAGCAGCTACACGAACTAATGATCACAAGGTTGTTTTGAATTTTCTTAAGGATCTGATTTTTTGTAGGTTTGGAACTCCGAGAGCTATCATTTGTGATGGTGGTAGCCACTTCTGCAACAAACCCTTCGAGGCATTGATGAAGAAGTACAACATCATACATAAGGTGGTAACTCCATATCATCCTCAAACCTCAAGCCAAGTGGAGATCAACAATAAGGAAATAAAGAACATTTTGATGAAGACCGTCAGCCCTACAAGGAAGGATTGGTCACTTAGGTTGAATGATGCACTTTGAGCTTATCGAACAACATACAAGACTCTAATTGGAATGAGCCCTTATCGACTTGTGTTCGAAAAGGCATTTCATTTGCCAATGGGGCTCCAGCACCGTGCATATTAGGCCATAAAAAAGTTCAATTTTGATCTCAAGGAAGCTGGTGTAGCAAGGAAGCTCCAACTTAATGAGTTGGAAGAGCTCAGAAATGAAGCATATGAGAATGCTAAGATCTACAAAGAACACATCAAGCTCTATCATGACAAAGCAATTCTCTGGAAAGAGTTCCAACCAGGTATGAAAGTGCTTTTGTACGATTCATGTTTGCAACTTTTTCCAGGTAAATTGAAGTCTAGATGGGTTGGACCCTTCAAAGTGCTTCAAATATTTCCCCATGGAGCTATGGAGATAGAGAACATCAAGAATGGCACCTATTTTAAGGTCAATGGGCAGCGTTTGAAGCATTATTTGGAGAATGTTACAGAGGAGCAGGCCTATCAAGTTGTAGATTCTCTTGAGTTTATGACAACTTAGACACACTGTCATGTCTTGCCTAGACATTAAATAAAGCGCTTGCTAGGAGGCAACCTAGTTGGGTTTGTGTTCTTTCCTTTTATTTGTGTGTTTTTTTGTTTTTGTTTTATTTTCATTCCATTTGCACTCTACCTATTCGTAGTGCATGCATTCCATTCATTTTTAAGCATCGAGGACAATGCTTAGTTTAAGTTTGGGGGTGTTGGAAATTGAAAATTTTCTTTTACTTTTAGTTTTGGCTAAAGTTTGCTTTTGCTTACTAATGTGAATGTATATGATGGTTGTGTATACAATCTTACTATGGTGCTGTCATGAAAAGTTCCATATCATAATTTTTGTAGTTCACAAAGTTATTACTCTTGAATTATGGTGATTAAAGTATCATGCTCAAATTATTGAAGAAGAATATTGGAGACTACCCTAGTGAGTTATTTTGAGCCTATTTGCTTCTTTGAGAGGGTTTAAAGTGTTTCTGCTCCTATCTTTTTCTTTCAATTTCATTTCAAATGATCTCATTATTTCTCTTTGATTGAATGCTAAGAACAATCCTATGTTGCAGATACCATGTGCTTGTTATCACTTATGAATGAACTCATTGAGACGATGTTAGGCTATGCATGTTTTAACCATCAAATGGCTTTATTCCCAACCCTTTGTGTGCTCCATTCACTCTTGTTGTAGCCAAACACTTTTAGCCTAGTTCTTTCATCACCCACACCAAATTCTACCCATCTTAGCCCATTACAGCCATACCTTATAGTTTGGGGAATACCAAAGTGATGAAGACAAAGATAGATTGAGCTCTAGATCAAGAATGTGGCGTGTACCGAAGTAACATGTGCTAGAATCGCAACACAAGTAAGAAAAAAGTTTCAAACAAAAAAAAAAAAGAAAAAAAAAAGAACGAAGAAGATGCAATTTCCAAATCCTTCACTATCGCATGTGTGTCCTGGATGCCAAGAACAAACAACAAAGATCAATTCAAGAGGAGAGCTTGCTGGTTTCACAAGGAACACACTTTGGTACGTTCCAAGCCCTAGTATTTCCTATCCATTCTTTCGTAGCCCTAGTGTGACATCCCACATCGCCCAGGGGTGATCCTTAAATGTATATTCCCATCCCTACTTAGCACGAGGCCTTTTGGGAGCTCACTGGCTTCAGGTTTCGTAGGAACTCCGAAGTTAAGCGAGTAGCGCACGAGAGCACTCCCAGGATGGGTGACATTTGGTATCAGAGCCTAACCCTGGCCGTGGTGTGCCGACGAGGACGTCGGGCCCCTAAGGGGGGTGGATTGTGACATCCCACATCGCCCAGGGGTGATCCTTAAATGTATATTCCCATCCCTACTTAGCACGAGGCCTTTTGGGAGCTCAATGGCTTCGGGTTCCGTAGGAACTCTGAAGTTAAGCGAGTAGCGCACGAGAGCACTCCCAGGATGGGTGACCTATCGGGAAGTTCTCGTGTGAGTTCCCAGAAATAAAACCGTGAGGGCGTGGTTGGGGCCCAAAGTGGACAATATCGTGCTACGGTGGTGGAGCGGGCCCAGGAAGTGGTCCGCCCCGGGCCGGGATGTGACACCTAGCCTAAGCCTTACATTACAACCTTGTGAAAGACCTAGGTGATCTTTAGGGATATATTCATGGGTGCTGGTAAGTATGTGTGTTATCCATATTCTTAGTGTTTGATTCATTTCATGAGATTTATTCAGAAATTGTGTTTTTATTTCATATTTCATATGTGAGAATTTTGATTCCTTTTTACATAACTTCACTCATATATGTTTGAT